CACTATCGTGTGTCTTTGATTGTTATGATTGTGAATCTCAATGGATTGTTGATATTCTTGAGAATGAATAGGAAATAAAAAGATTATTCAAACGTACAGATCACAGTCAGGAAACTGGCTGCATTTTCAGGTAATGATGGCATGTCATCAACAGGGGGCGACAAAAGCCAGCTGACAAAAATGATAAAGACTTTACACTGTCGCATCCTGTCCCATGTCTGTCTTACGTCAGACTGCAGGACTGTGGTCAGGGTTCTGGATAAAACGTGTTCCAGAACATTATTCAATAAAGTCCTCATTTACAAACTTTTTCTATGTTACATTTTCATATTTTTTGTCTTGAGATTTGATTTCAACAAGATGCATCACATTCAAACTTTTCTTTTAACGGAAATTTGTTTTCATAGATGATTTCTCTCGACGTGTCACACTCCAACCCGACGTTTCTCCTGACGTGGATTTGATTGACAGCATGCAAGTCAGTGTTGGCCTCTGCCAGCAGATGTTGGGCCCTCACAGATGTTCCTCTGGGTTCTGAGTCCAGTGAAGGTCACGACCCTCCTCGCCTCACTGCCTCGTAATTGTTTTTTTTTTTTTAACCTTCATGAAAAGGTCTGACATTTTTAAATTTGGCTTTAACCTGTAAAACAATCAGATTGAACAACCAGTTCCTGGGACACAATGAATACAGGCCTTCTGTTTTTAAATGTCATCACTGTTTGTCGCTCGCTCTCCTTCCCTGTCGCACTTCTCTCAACTGACAATACGTCCGTTTATCTCAGGGCCACAAAAAGCTGCACTTTTTCTTTCAAATTCAACTTATTCCAGATGTGACATTAGAAAACCATCCTGCCTCATACAATGATTTTCAGTTAGCTTCCGCTGGGTCAGACTGACTTCAATTTAGATTTAACTGGACTCAACAATGTTTTTCTATCTGATCCCTTTGGTTTCCTGTGGAATAAAAGCATTTATCTCACAAGTAGAATGTCATGTGCATCATATTTAGTTTTTCTGTGTTTAAGATTTATTTTAGCTAGCTGCTGCCATCATGTGCAAACAACGTGCCCAGTGCAGCTTAAGCAAATTTAACAGTGACAGCTGCATCACAGTTGAGCTTCAGTCTTTCCTGTCAGTCTGCACCAGCTCAGTTCGTCTCTGACGACGTCCGCAGCAGGTTTCACGAGTCGCACCATCAAACATTCAGGCCGGTCTACATTCCAACATCTTCTTGAAGGCTTTCCTGAAGCTGTCGTCCAGGAAGGCATAGAGGAACGGGTTGAGGCAGGAGTTGGCGTAGCTCAGGCTGGTGATGAAGTAAGAGATCCCGATCAGCAGGGGCGTGGTCATCAGGTCCGTCGTCAGAGCCACGATGGTGCTGAGGTGAAACGGGGTCCAGCAGAACAAGCAGACGGCCAAAACTATGAACACCATGATGGTGACTTTCTTCTTGGCCTTGTCCAGTGCCTTGGCATTGCTGTTGAGCCGCATGTTCCTCAGCTTGTAGAGCATCATGGTGTATAAGATGCAGATGGTAGAAACTGGGATGGCAAAGCCCAGGATGAGTGTGTAGATCCGGCTGGCCTTGAACCACAGCCTCTCGGGGCTGGGGAAGCTCAGAACGCAGCTCTTTCTCTCGTCGTTTGGGTTTACATAGACGCCGGCGAAAACAGTGAAAGGCATAACGACGAGGATGACGAGGATCCAGACGCATAATGAGATGATTTTGGCTGCTCGATAGGTGCGGTAAGGCATGCGCTTTGACCTGACTGTCGCCAAGACGACCAGGAAACGGTCGATGCTCATAACTGTCAGAAAATAGATACTGGAGAAGATGTTGTAATGATCGATGCTGAGGATGACTTTGCACAAAACCTCCCCGAAAGGCCAGTAGTGCAACAAGTGCTCTGCGATGTTGATCGGCAGAACCAAAGTGAACAAGTCGTCTGCAATGGCCAAATTCAGGATGAACATGTTGGTGACAGTTTTCATCCTGGGAGCTTTGAGGATCACGTAGATAACGGCCGTGTTGCCCGTCAGTCCCACGGCACAGATTACTGAGTAGATGATGGGGATGATGATGTAAAGGTCAGCGTAGAGATAGAACTCAGAGGGAGGAGTGCAGTTCAGGTCCGAGCGGTTTCCTGACATGAGAGAGTAGAAGTCCACAGAGTTGTTGCAGACCGGCATTGAACCGTCAGGGTTGGACACATTCTCCATGTTTGAAGAGACTATTACATGGAAACGGGTAAAACTAAGAATCTGTTCTGAGGCAGCAGAAAAAAGAATCAGTCAGGTTTTCAGAGAATCACTTGTGTGTCTGTTGTCCCTCATCTTCTCACAAAGATTGATGAAGTTTATCCAACATGACAAGAGCTCAGCCTCTGACCAGCAAACACCACAGCTCAGATTCACAGGACTTAGAGCCACAGTTTCCAATCAGAGGTCCAGGGAACACACGCAGGTCACTGAGGAGGTGAGAGCAGGTCTGGTTACAGAATATCAGGATCATTATTTTCCACTGATGCTTCACTTTCTGAGACCATTTAAAAACAACCTGCAGACAGTTACAGAGCAGAATCACAAACAAAACATCCTGTCAGTGTCTGAGAAGAGAATCTGAGCAGAGTCTGTTCCTTGTCCTGATTCTGATCAACGCTCCTCTTTTCTCTCAGGGTTCATTCTTCACTTCAAAGTCACATTGGATCATAACCCTCCTCCTCCTCTTCCTCCTCCTCCTCCTCTGATTCCCCGAAAGCAAAGAAATGAGTTTCTACAAAATGATGGAGTCCAATAAAAAGTTGATGCTCACATAAGGTTTCGGGAGATGTTTCCTCTGTCGCTCCTGGTGCGTTCTGGCGATGGTGCCAGGGCTTTATGCACGAGTGACGTATCTGGACATCAGTTGGTTTCCTTCCACTCGTAAACACCAGTGAGAAAGACGCATGAACCAGTTCTACAGCAGCAGATTGTGTCAGCGGAGAAAAACATCCAGGACTAAAGCAGCTGAGTCCGACTCATCCACAGTCAGCAATGTTTTTCTCTCATGTTGAAGAGACATGTCTGATTCTGATGGAAACTGGTGAAGTGATGTCAAAAATACAGAATTCAAATGAAATCATCACCTTTTGTCCTCGTGTCGTCAGAAACATACGACCCAGGAGGAAATGAGCCAACGTGACGTCGCTCATTCAGAAAAAATTCAATCGGAAATATTCATCAAGTCACTTCAGGCTGGTTTCGTCTCCTCTGTGTCCCCAGCTGAGTCCTGAGCTCGTCCGCTGATCTCCAGGCTCCTCCCCCCCTCCCTCTGTTTGTCTCTCTCTCTCCCTCTCTCTGTCTCTCTCTCTCCCTCCCTCCCTCTGTTTGTCTCTCTCTCTCTCTCCCTCCCTGCCTCCATCCCACCCTCCCTCTGTCTTTCTCTCTCTCCCTTCCTCCCTCCCATTGTCTTTCTCTCGCCCTCTCTCTCCATTTGTCTCTCTCTATCTCCCTCTGTTTTTCTCTCTTTCCCTCCCTCTCTCTCTCTCTCTCTCTCTCTCTCTCCCCCTCTGTTTGTCTCTCACCCTCCCTCCCTCCCTGTCTCTCCCTCCCAGAGTCTTTCTACCCTCTGGAGTTCCTGAAGAGTCTTTACAGAAAATCTAAAAACCAGGTTCATTTATTCATCCAGCTAGAAACACTTTTATTTCCACACGTTAACATCAGACTCTTCATCCTTCAGCTGCTTCACATTGAGCCTGAAGTGTTTTACACACATAAATATAATTATAATATAATTTCTGGAGCTCAGACCCAAAGACGTGACTAATTGGCTCATAAAGGCTCCGTGGACTTGTGTCCTGCAAAGTGCTGCTGAGGTTGTGACTTGTCATCAGAGCACAAACCCAGGAGGCACAGAGCAAAGTGTTAATTTACAGAATGAACTGATAACTGAGACGACTGGAAGGAAGAATGATTCGATTATTGCTGGTGGTGTGAGTGCAAGAAGATGAAAATGATCCTGGAGCAGAAAAACAGGGAACGTTACAAAAAGCACAAAGCAAACACGGAGAATCACAAAGTCAGTGACTGTACAGAGGACGAGTATCTACAGAGAGCTGATAACAACCGTGATGTGATGAGAGAGAGACGCTGTTCTTATACTGCAGGTGATGGCAGATGAATGGCAGCTGTGTAGACTGGAAGGAGCAGAGAGAGTCGACTCAGTCGTCAGGACACAGAGCCTCAGAGCACTCTGGGAAACTGAGGCTGAAAACCAGGATCATGACGATTATCCATAAAAACCACCTGAATCCATTGCATAGCTGTTGTGCAGCAGGTTTGTGTGACATTGACAATCGCACCAATCAGACACAATTAAAGAAAGAGTTAAAAAAGAGCTTCATGCATCTGCGTCACTGTTGATAACATCTGAGGCCAAAATGCCCCTAAAAGATCTGAGCATTTAGTTTTTTCCATGACAGCCCCGCTTTAATCCGTGAGCGCTCAGAGAATGTAAACATCCTGACACAGGCCCGGAGGTGGTGTACTGATGAAGCAGCAGCCTTTCATACCGACAACAGAGAGAATCGTTACAGCTCCTGCTCCAGTGAGGAAATGATCAAATTCAGACGAGAACAGTGAACATACCATGGAAAGGCCCGTGGGTGCATTGATTTCCTGCATGTTGACCCAATAAACCAGCTTCTGATTACTGGATGAAAATAAACCCTTCAACAAAACACAGCTTTTCATCAATCACCCAAACAAACCACGATCAACAGACACACAAACATCCATTCATCGGCGTGAATTTAACAGCCAGAAGATCATCATACTTCAAATTCCTGCCTCTCCAGAAGCAGCAAATCAGTTGCAGAATAGCTTCCACTCATTTTGGGGAAAGGAAGGATTTCAGTTACCATGAGTTGAATGTTGTGCCTGGGATGGGTGTAAGATTGCTTTTGGTATAATTCACCCAGGTGGTTTACATGGAGTGCAGCTGTGTCTCTGACAGTCTGTTCTGCAGTCATTGAAATGACTGTCAAACCTCTGGCTTTCATGGGATTAGCAGCCGAGATGCACCTCATAAAAATACGAGGAGCTGGTGAGAGTGGCAACACATCGAACTGGAAAGCTTGCCCTTGAAACCAAAACCTCAGGAACTGCCTGCGGTGCAGTGTAATAGACACATGAAGGTCTACTGACACATCTGCCATCCGCTGCACGCTGCTGCTGTGAAACATCTGCTCTCAAATGTCTCCTCGGCTGTTTGGATTTTTTGTGTCCTTCAAAATCCCCAACCAATAAACTGCAGTCGACTTAAAAAACCTGTAACATCCAATAGGATCATTTAACTTACTTAAAATCTTTTTATTCAATTGTTCTAAGAACATCACATGGTAGAAGATCGTTTCTTACTTTACCCAAGTTTGAAATAATTTCTTCTGATGAAGGAAGCAGAGACCTTGGTTTAAAGCTTATTCAGGTTTTAACTATGGCTCCTCTTGTGGAATAGTGGATGTCAGAGTCCTTGATTGACAAACAACAGTTTATAGAAAGATCATCTTGAGATTCAGAAAATGTATTCTCATTGTGTTTGACAGTTTTAGTCATATTGTGGATAAATATAATATGGTGAACTTTCCCGATGTGTGGATCGATAAAATTCTATCTAATCTAATCGATCTTGTTCTTTCAGGTGAAACCCTGGTGACAGCAGCATCAGCCACAGTGAACACGTAACAAGTACAGAAGCGTCGAGCGATGCAGACAGTCGGTGGTATCTTCAACTTAACCTGCCGCAGGTTGAGCATCAGTTACCATGGTGATTTACCCCATAACAAGTGAACAAGCTTTTTAGGACTGAAGACTACTGATAAACACAAATCCTGCTTCATAGTACAGACGTTAAAGGGATAGTTCACCCAAATATGATATTTCACTTATTATCTACTCGCGGTAGTAGATGACGCCCTGTCGGAGCCTACAGGTGGATGCTGGGGTGGAGGAGGGGCTGACGGAACTGGTAGTGATACTGCAGCAGCAGTGCAAGCAAAGGGGGTGATGGGACATTTCCCTCTGCTTAAATAGGTCGTCTAAGAAGGTGGGTGTGTATAATAGATGATTGTGTCACATGATGTGTGCCACATGATGTGCGTCACATGATGTGTGTCACATGACTGGAGCAGCGCAGCTTGAGTTGGCTGCCTGAACTAGCTCGCAGGGTTCGCTCCATTTATTGATTATTAATGATAGCAGCAACATTTCATAGTGTCTGCTCAGTTGTTGATGAGGCTTCATGAGTTTCTATAGAACTGAGCTCAGACCTGGAGAAGTGAAAGTAATTCTCTTCACTTGTTTCCTGTGAGTCTGTTTCTGTGCAGCTCACTGTTATTGTTTCATGAAGCAGACAGTGGGGGGGTGCAATAATCACATGATTATGAATTAAAAGGAACCAACTCTGTCAACACACACAACATAATATCAATAAACCATATGAAAGAGCATAAACACAGCAGAACAGTGTTTGTTAGTGCATGAGTCTTCACAGAGTCTGTTCTACGATCTCTCAAACTCACACTTCACTAAAACACAAAGGATTTCAAAGGTTTTACCACTGACACCAACAGGAAATCAACGTTCTAACAGAAGGAAGGAAACAACTGCAGTGACAGTTTGCAGTCTGTCACTAACTCCTGGGTTCAGAGTCTGCAGAGAAGCTCTCTCACCGACGAGTCATCAGGGGCTGGATTCAAACTGTGTGTCGTTCAGTGTAGTTCTTATTGGATTGTGGGTTTGAGCCGAGGATGTGAACATGAGTGAAGTTCAAACACGTTGATGATAACATGTGATGAGATAGTTACTGATCCTCACACAATGGTGATTACAACTAATGTCTCCCTTTGTCCCACTGTGTGTGTGTGTGTGTGTGTGTGTGTGTGTGTGTGTGTGTGTGTGTGTGTGTGAGTGTGTCCTTCTGAAGTATAATGGGGAGTGATGAAACAAGAACTCCATGTATGTAAGGAAATAACATTGAAAGCAACTGATTTTATATGTTTTTTGATGAAGATGGAAAACGTCACAAGGTCGAGGAAAGATATGAAGGAGAAACATAAGGAGCTAGGAAAAGAAATCAA